AAACAATGCTTCCTAATTCTGCCCTCACTTGGATTTTGGCTTCAAGAAATACAGCATAAAAGTGAAGGCAGAATTAAAAGCAATGCTTCCTGTATGCAGATGGAGAGAAATGTGATCTTTTTAAAAAAACACTTAAGTATTCTGCACAACCTGTGAATGGGAGGGATAACATGGGAGTGGGGCTAAGCCCTTTCAATAGTCACTTCTGCCTTCACTTGCCGAATTTCTTGGCAATCCATATCCTTTACCAAATTGAAAAGGCCTCTTCAGTATAAAACTCAGGTGGTGCAAATTGTCATGCAAGCTTTTTCTTTAATTAAGAAGAGCAAATTGGATTTTTAATATGCAGACTTGGAATTAAAGTATCTTTCAAGATAAAAGGTTTGTGTTTTGCCATTTGTGATAAGCCTTTAATGTAAAAATGTGTACAAACAGAAGGGAGTTCTCCGTATCTATTAATACTTCTAAAGCAGCACAGAAATCACTGTCCTTCCAAGACAAGAGAAAAATCCTTTGCAGTGTTAAAAAGGAGGTATTCCACAGAACTATAAAATGATTTACGGGTTTGGAGAAGCACCTTTATAGTATAAGATTGTGAGAGAACCCATCTTAATTTAGCTTATCAATGAGAAGATGGAGGCAGGACTTGATAAGTACCTTCACAGAGCAAAGATCCCTGATTTAAGGTGACTGCCTAAGCAGAAAAGAAGCCCATGACTGAAAGACAGAAAAATTCATACTGGAAAACGGGGCAGATTTCTATGAATGAGTGTCTTTAGCCTCTGAGAAACCTTATCAAGAGTAGCCAGCTTAGACATCATCCTTTGAAGATTTAAAGCAAGCATGTTTTTCCTCCTTCCAGAATATATAATGTATTGGAAAATGCAGATTTGTTTTCTTCCTCTCAATTTTAGACTAAAGAGCCCTTGAGTGAGATTCTAAAAGCGCTAGCTGTATTTTGTGTGCACCATGCACACCACAGTAATTCAGCCAACTTTCTAATGCAAGGACAGTTGGCACATCTCGCCATGGGGCAAGATGCAGATGTTTCCCTCTGGATATTAAAGAGAGTTGCACTGAACCAGGGGTGCCAACTTAAATAAAATATTGTGGGGGCCCAGGTAAGCCCTGCCCCACATAACTGATCACATGATGCAGTGCACACACACCATCTGAATGGGAGTGGCCATCAACTTTGTTAGGGCCCAGCCCCCTCAAATATTTTATTGTGGGGCCTAAAGCCCTCATGGCCCTTAGGAGCTGGCCAGGAAGTAAAAAGTGCCTCATGTTTCTAGTTCCCTTCTGTATTTCTGACGTCAGAAGCCATCCTGGCTGCAATCCTAATTGGATTTACTTTTGCCTAAATTCTACTGGAAGCCTTATAATTTCTTTCCAAGTAAAGGTATTTAGGATTGGTATGTTAGAAGTACACGTATGGTAATCTATAACTTGGTTTTTTTTTAAAAAATATGGCTGGTCTTTTACAAATTAAAAACACAATTCAATAAAAGATAGCCAAGGTCCCATTGAAATTAACAATGCCAAAGTTGGCCAAGCCCTCCCATTCAATCTGGCGAGAAGACTACTACTGTTTTTAACAAGATGGATCTAGAAATGCAGTTGATTCCTCTGCCACATCAAGATTAGACTACAGCAAATTCTTCTACAGATTGAAAGGGAAAGATTTAATCCCAAGAATCTTTAGTTAAATGGTTAGGTAACAGGTGAAACTTCTACTGTATTTGCAAGCACCTGGAGCAGGAGCAACAAATGGGACACCCTCCAGATGCATTGGACTGCAACTACCATCCTTGACCACTGGCTAGACTGGGGCTGATGAGAGTTGTAGTACAAAACATCTGAAGGGTGTCATGTTGGACAGTCAAGAGTACTCTGCCAGTCAAGAGTAGACAATGCTGTATGGACAAATATCCTGACTTCCAATGTTCTTTCTAACAGCCCCACTTTATGGGGACCAAACTTGTGGGAAACAGTGCATACTTTAGTCAAAAATGAAAGTCTCGAGAAAATGTGTATTCTTCTAGTCTGCTTCTTCTTGTTTTGTTTTATCCTGCTGTTTACAGACACTGCTTTAGTTATTATTATTACCTTGTCAGAATCTTCATTGAGTTACATTAAATACTGTGTGTGTGTGTGTGTGTGTGTGTGTAGGATTTTGTTTCTCTTGTTTGAAAAGAAAAAAAATGTTGTATCTGTTCCTTGAAATTGTGAGCATATTTCCTAATGTAAAATTTCTCTCCTACTTTCTAAAAATAAAGTACGATCCTCCTTTGGGGTTTTTTACAGGTTGAGCAATACAGAGTCTTCAGTTCTGCAGAACTGTTCAACAGCATGAATTTCCCTGAAAGTCTCACAACTCTCAATTCACAACTATGATCTACTTTCTCCTAAATTTAAACTGTAAACTACTTTGCTTTGTGAAAACTCCAGGGTTAACCGTACACAGAATGTAGTTTAATATGGGGCTCAACCCTGACCTCCAATTTCTCGAAAGATTTCTTTCCCTATGAATGAGTCTTTTGTTTTATTGCCTGATGCATAGGGTGCTTAAGAATTTCTTGGTAATTTCTCCCATGGAAGGAGTTGCCTTCGGATATTTTCCCTTGTGTCATAGTCATGCCCTCCTAGTGTCCCAATATTCCAGGGACAGCCCTGGAATTAGGAAAGCCATACGAGCTTCTGATTCGATCTCAGAATGTCGCTGTTTCCCCTGGCAGTGCAGCTGCCACCAAGCTCAAGAAGAAGGGTGAGCTGGTGCTTGTCCCAAGTGGTGTCAGCAGCAAGGGAGCATCCTGTTGCCTCTCCATTGCCTCTCCATGGCTGCTGCTGCTGCCGGCCTCCTCCCTTGGGCACCATGCAGCAGCTGCTGGAGAGTGGACAAGGAGGAGGAAAGGCTGCCACCATTAAGGCCCAGCCCCATGTGACGCACCAGCTCTGAGGGGCAGGCAGTGGACAGGGCCGCCCTGGGGGGGAAGAAATGGGGAGCAGAGTGCAAGGAGTCTTTTTTAAAAAAAGATTTTGTGCACCTGCATCTAATCTTGCCCCTTTCTATCATTTATTGATTGTTGTGAATTTTTCTTTCTGTAAATAAAAGAATAAAATAAAATAGGGATTCAGGGCTTTTCTCATGATGGTGGAGGCAGTGTGTGCTGTGTCCCATTGGTGAAGTGCTGGTGGCACTTGCCTTTCTTCTGGTATAAAATGCTCGGGGGGGCACAAAAATGGGGGATTGAGGATTAGTTCAGGGGTGTGATAAAGGACCTATTTTCATCTGAGGAATGTTGGAGGGTATGTGTGAAGTGTATGGGTTGCTCGTGCATAAATTGCCGCCTCTCCAGGCTTTGTTGCCTTGCTAAACCTTTCAGTCTGGGCAGCCCTTCACTTCGTGGCTGCCTCAGTCGCTAGCAGAATCCGTCAGTGGGCGTTTCTTAAATCTTTTCCAACATAAAAGTTGTTTGACACCCAGTCTCCTCCTACTTTCTCTGCGCGGAAGTCTTCTGCGCAGGGTGGGCGTGGGTAGCGGGGGACCCATGCTCTCCCCGCTGGTGTCCGGTGAAGAGTCCTGGAGCCCTCTTGCCGATTCCCCCATCAGCCCCTCCTTATCCCTGGTGTAGCACTGATTTGCTTCCCCATCTGCGGAGCTGCCTCTCTCCCTGCTGGGCCCTTCTCCAGCATCATTTGAGAGCCTTCCCTCCGCCTCTAGCTCCGATGTCAGTTCCCTGACAGTATGATTTAACAGATGCTAGAAGCTCACTTCCTGTGCTTTTTTTAAAAAAGGAAAGTTTCTTTTTTAAATGTTTCCATGCTGATTTTCTCATTAATTGATGAAGCATTGTCAGGGTGGGCAGGAAGCATAAGATATTTTCAGCACAGCACTTGTTTAGTTTCCCTTGGATGAGAGAGAACACTTGAGGGTTACAGTGTCTTTGTAATACTTGTCTTATTATTTACATATTAGACGCCAAGCACTGTGCTGAAAGTATAGAAAAATGAATGACAAAAAAAATGTCATTTATCTTCTGAGGATCCAATAGCCATAAATATTTGGTTTAGCTCTCTCCCTAGAGAATCCTTGATTTGTTGGAAACAAAGGCTTTGTTCAGACATTCAGAGCCTCTTAAGACTTTATTTAAGTATGTAAAATAAACACTTGGGTGGGGACAGCAGGGACAGGCTGATTAGCCCCACCTCTGACATCATTCTCACCCTCCTCCCTGAGTTGGAAGATGCCTGTCTGAAGTCTCCTGAGCTCAGGGGTGTTCCATGGAGCACAGAGTCTCCATAATACAACCCCCCCCCCACAGCTTCAGAACCTTGGAAGCCATTCTCATTGGCAATCATCCCTGCCATTCCCCATGTGTTTACCGAGCACAGAGGTCATCTGAAAAGGGCTTTGGTGACTTCTGTGCAAGCTGTAAGATCCCATGGGCTTGCTGGAAAGCTGTGATCTAGTGGAAATAATCTGCATAAGGTAATTGTGCCTCTGTATGTATGAGATGCATAATTGGGAGGCTATATGTAGAGAGGATGCAATATGAATGATCCTGGAGGGTCTTTTAGGAAGGTGAGCCAAAGACAACACAATTTATCCAGAAAATACCATGCCTACTATTTCTGGTTATAATATATAGCTTTACAATTCAATCTTTTTTCATTTTCGCATTTCATCCTGCATAGATTCTCATTCCCCTATCTCCCATTAAAAATGATCAGACAAAGTCTAATCAGTGCCTACCTAGATTAGAAAACTCTGATTTGATGTATAAATCTGATTTGCAGATTAAAACTAATCAAATCCCCTATTTTATCGGGAATCCAGCTGAGAAGAAGTCATTCTAATAAAATGTTTCAAACCTGTTTTCTTCAGAACAATTCATCATGCTGCCACTCTTTTCTAACATAGCTATAAGAGTGAACTGCTTCACATTTTAAAAAAGGAGTAAAAAAAACCTATGTGTATATGTTTTTTACACTCCTACCTTAAGTACACAGACATACGGTATCTACTTTTGGGCGGCCGTGCAGTAATGTTGTAGGAGCTGTTGGTATTATCCAAGTCATCCTTTGCAGAGCATTCCTCAACGTATTCCAAGTGAGTGACTGTTGGATTTCCACCATTTTCATTTGTAAGACAGGTTGCTAAGCGGAAAAAGAAGTTGTGATGTGCCCTGTTCTTGTAACAAGATATTCAAGGGTTCCTGGAACAAGATGTGGAAAAAGACAGACAGATATTATTATATAAGCATCAATATTTTGTATCCATTGCACTCTTGCAAAGATTGTTGCAAAATTTGATTGTTGGTTCATTCCTGTTTTATTTTATTGTTGCATGTGGCAATATGTGGGTACAAAATGAAGTATTTTGAAAGACAAAACACAAATTTCTGAATGGTTAACAGACCAGCAAATGTAACACTTATTTCAAAGGAGCACTTTTAGTTTCTGATCTAAAGTCAATGGACACAGCTTATACTATGAAACACTCCTTAGTATAACGCAATTCAGGTTGAATCATAGCTCTCAGGAAGAAAACTTTAAAGGGAAAAAGATCAGATTTAACATGCAGGAGGAAATAGGAAGAATTCTGATAATTAGGGGCGAGGGGTAACAGAATGTGTTGAATTATCAACCACAACCCCAAGATCTCACTCCTGGTGAGTCACTTCCAGTTCAGACTCCATTAATGTATATGTGAAATTAGGATTATTATTATTTTGCCCCAGTGGGTATCACATTACATTTGCTTACATTGAACTGCTTTTGCCATTTTAATGCACATTCACCCAGTTCAGAGAGATCCTTTTGGAGTTCCTTTCAACTCCTTTTTTTTCTTTTTTACTACCCTGAGCAATTTGGTGTCATCAGCAAACTTGACCACACTCATGCCTAGCTCCTGATAATTTGTGAACAGTTAAAGAGCACTGGTCCCAGTTCCAATGCAGACGCTTTGCGGACTCCACTTCTTAGAAAATCCCTCTGTTTTCTGAACTGCCCACTTATTCCTGCTCTCTGCACTTTAGCAAGTTACTGAAACATAGGAGGAGCCACCCTTACAAAAGCTTATAGTGCATTGACTTTGAATGCACTAAATAAATTCTTGATTCAAAAGACTCATTCACCTGTAAGTTTAAATTCAGGTATGAATGCCAACTTGACTGTACACTTGGTTCTCATCAATCTTTTGAAGAAATATAGTGATGATTTAACATTTATGAATGCCTTTCGTGACCTGGATCTTTTGGATTAAGAAACTATCTGATGCAGCACACATTTTTGTTGTTGCTGATATCGAATCACATACTCAAGCTAAACGCACATAGAATACAGTGATCTATTATTCGGCATGAGGAGCCTCTAGTTAAGAGAGCTCCCTATCTTGGCCTGAAATCAGTTCTCTTGCCTGGATGTTTTGCCCTGTGCTATGGAAGCCACCACATTGTAGGCTGAAGACTATTCTCCCCATTTACTCATACTCCTTTTGGTCACATGATACATACACGAAAAGGACTCTTCCTACATTAAAAGGCACATGCATGGAAGGAGGGGCAAGATTCTGCCTCATCCCTAACACCAGGACCGGCCCACCCATGAGGTGAGGTGAGCCAACCGCCTCAGGCAGCAGTACCCACAGGGGCAGCAGACCCTGATGTAGATATTTATTTCCTGCTTGTTGCTGGTGTAGATCTTCATGCACCCATTTTTCCCTGGTGGGGAGGGCTGGCCCTGCCCAACACACTTTTGGTACATGTATATACATGCATAGGTTCTGTTCTATAAGACAGTTGAATAGGCAGGGTTCCCAAATTCATATAAGCCCTTCTCATAGGATGTGCCTGATGTACATCAGAGGTAAGGCATGATCAGCAGATACAATCTCCTCCCTTCCCACCATGTACATTAATTGTAACATTAGAGTCTTAAAGAGAAACAAGTTGGGTTCATGAGTGTATGTGCTTTGGAAGATACAGGAGGGGCAGAGCTTTATGTGGCTTACATTTGTTTGTCTGTGTTTAATTCAAGAACTTATCACTTGCTGAGGACAAACCATGAGAGATGGCTCTATCATGTCTGCCTGTGAGCATTTAAGGGGCATCTGATTCACTACAAATACAGAGAAAGTGATGAGCTAGAAGGACTTATGCAGCACAATTCAGAGATTCTTAATTGTCTTGATATCACATGCCTCTGTGGTACAAAATTTATAGATCTGGCAGTGTTTCTTTATTGTTTATGTCTCTCCCATCATATATGCAGTTCTGCCTCAAATATGTGTTTTTTAAGAAGTGTCTGAATAATTGATTTCGTACATAATATAAATACATATTTATTTTGTATAATGTGTATAGATCTGCATACGTGTGCAAGAGATGGTGTTGTTGTTTAGTCATTTAGTCGTGTCCGACTCTTCTTGACCCCATGGACCAGAGCACGCCAGGCAAGAGATGGTAGGTCCCCATATTTTACAGAGAGTTTTATTTTGGAGAAGCTGGCTCAAATCAGAGCTGCATATTGGAAGGTGAAAAGTCATCAAAGCCAGCCAACAAGCACAGAGATAAATACCCTTTTATCTGTATTTGCAGTCAGCAAAAAAAATCAGACTGATTAGCTGTTAGAGATGATGGCCTTGATTCAGAGAACCCACATGGCTACCTCACAGCAGGCGGCAAAAGATTTGGCATCTTGTCTCCAGAAATAGCTCTCAGCGCCACACGGAGAGCTGATTTGAAATTCCCCCAAGCAGTGTGCGATTCAACCTTAAAACATAGGGAGGCTTGTTGTGATGGGCAAAATGACCTTCTCTGAATGCTTTTGTATGATTTACTTGTACTAATGATCCTTGATAACCTGTGAAAGCCGGTAACTTGTACCTGATGTATACGTACATCCCACCTCAGAGGGAGAAGGCTGAAATACATTTGTCAGTTTGGAATGCAGCTTTCAGAGGGGCCAGCAAAGGAGGAATTTCCCACATGTTCAAGGCACCTCTTTTCTCTGTTCCCCATTTCTTTGGGAGCCATTTTGGTTTACCAGATTTGCTATGTACAGCCAAATAGCACCATCTCCTTCTGAGTCTTCCTTACACAGTCCTGAGTTTTGGAGCAAGCCAGGAATAAGGAATGTTTTTATGACAGTGGCAGGGTAGGGAGTTATTCTTACTCAAGTTGGGTAAACAAATAGGACAGAAATTCAAATGCACTCTCCCAGCAGGAAACTGCCCCTGTTAAAAGCAGCTTTCTGGGTATCTTCTACCACATGTGGTGGACTTGCAAAGAGGTAAAGGTTTTCTGGGAAATGATATATAATGAGTTGAAGAAAATGTTCAAAAATACTTTTGTAAAAAAACCAGAAGGCTTTCTATTGGGTGTAGTGGGAAAAGAGATACCAAGGGATGATAAAAGATTGTTTGTGTATGCAACAACTGCTGCAAGAATTATTTTAGCCCAAAAATGGAAACAACAAGAAGTACCAACGAAAGAAGAGTGGCAGATGAAGATGGTGGACTTTGCAGAACTGGCGAAGCTGACAGGAAAAATCCAAAACCAGCATGATCAAGTATTCCAAAAGGACTGGAGTAAATTTATATGAAGCAATTAACATCACTAGCAGCCTTGTCTGAAGATTTATATTGAGAATTTTTCTACCTTTCTATATTTTTTAAAATTTGAGCTATTTTGTAAAGAGTGTAATCAGAATTGGAGAACGTACAAAATGCAATGATACAAAGGTTAATTTTGAAAATCATGAGGCGGGAGGAGAGAGAGAGAGAGAGAGAGAGCAGCCTGCTGAAACTTCCTAGAACTTGGAGACATGAGCATGTGCAAGATGATTTTGTACAGCAGCCTTCACCAAACTGGTGCCCTCAAGAAGTTTTGGACCACAACTTCTATCTTCTCCAGCCAGAACAACTATGTACAGGGACATCTGGAGGACATCAAATTGTTGAAGGGTGTTGCACAAGGCCCAACATGTTTGAGGGAGGAGAGTATATACTGAATGGTACTTTTGCCAGCCAAACGTCATAGGGTACCCCTGTGTCACTGTACTTGTTGCATGTTGGTATATCTTAGTACATAATTAGAAAATTATATCACATCATTTTCTAGACCACACTTGTATGTACTTTATTCCAATGTCATAACAGTGGTTCATGTTAAAAATAATAATTTCAGTTGTTAGCGTTGCTAATCAATAGAGACATATGCACAATCAAACTTGCCTGCAAGCAGTCTTCTTATCAGAGTCCTACATTTCTTATGGTCTCATTTTGTTACCATTTAAGGATCAGATCAGGTGTTATGTAAGCAGTTCAAAGAGGCTGCTCACATGGTTATCTAATAATTTTTCACATGCAAATGATGGGCCACGTTGAAGGCTCTGTGGTATGATGGGGAAGGATGCAATCATTGCTGGTTGCCCTATTATTTTATGGTAGTGTAGCAACCAAGAGGGAAACTTCAGGGCAAGGAGGAGTTGCAGTTTTTCCTGAAGAAGTGATCAAGGTTTTGCTGTGTTAACATTAGAAACATAATTGCAGAGTGAGGCCTACCAGAAACTTTCATGGCTGACCAGGTTTACCCTGTAAAAACTGAACTGGAATTGCTCCAGATTTCTGACTATACTACATCGATGCTACAAGGTATGTTATTCAGTTGACTTAGCAAGTTCAGCTTGGGAGGCCTCTTGGAGATATCTTGGTTTTTTTAGTCTATCCAAGGCGGTCAGCTCAGTTGTTTAGTTGGTTTAGGAATGGTGAACAAAGATGAAACTGTGTAGGGTTAGGTCAGATTTTAAGCAGGATTGAGTAAGATTTCTCTTTAAATCATTGTGCTGGTGGAGTTTAATTTCTAATTTAAGAAAGGGAGTGCAATGTGATTTCTGGTTAAAAAGCACAGCTCACCCTAGGAAACATTCAAGACTGCCTTTAAAAAGCAAACAAACCACTACAGAAAGAGAGAGAGGGAGAGGATAACCACCCCTAATCTTCCTAAACAGTGTCCCAAGGGACTATGAATGTAGTTATCGCTCTCTCTTTTTAATTGTGGGATTTAGGAACACACGCACACCCAATTAGTCAGCAGACCAGAAAGATAGACTTTCTTCTCTTAAGGATGCTTATTGAAATGAAAGGGGCTCATTCA